ATTTTGGGACCTTTATCTTTCTTACTATTTCTAACTATCTTTATTTCCTTGCTGGCAACGCCTCACTTTTGGCTTGAATGTTGAGCGTTCCCCCATGTGAGGAAGCAATGGGGTTTGTCCCCAGGCCGGGACATATCAAAGTCCTTCAAAATGGAAGTTTTTTTTTGTCTCAGCTTAACGTTCATCATTTAGGGGAATGGCAACAACTGGTTTACACGTTTTCAGTATAATGTGACCGGGCGGAATGTTGTGCTTTGGGTGCCTTCGGCTTGGTATTTCAGTGAGATAGCACTATAATGTCGGTATCAGATCCGCGTTATCACAAGGAGGCACACACAACAACATACCCTGTCTCCTGCATACACACACGCAAGCACACAAACACTGCACACATGGAGGCACGTCCTTAAATCACCTTAGCTGTAAATAGGACGTTAAACAAAATTAAACCAAACCAAACCAATCGACAATTTGATATATGTGTGCCTTGTGTGCTCTTGTTATTTTTCGTAATTAAAATGATTATTTTTAGTCATGTATAATGGGTTTAATATCGTTTGGATCGTCATTGAGAATGATTTAATGTGACACGGCAAAGGATTGCACAAAACATGTAACACTGCCAACAATAAATGCAAACGCATTGACAAGTTCAGAAATTTATATCTGGTGAGTTATTCCTTCAACCAAAGGAATCACGTTGATGTACGTAGTTGTATTATCGTTGTATTGTAACTTACATCAAAGGCATTCCAAGGATTTACACAATTATGTCTATGTACCTGTATTCAGCACTGACCGTACAATCCGCCAAATACACATGTTGATGTGTGATATGATGTACACCTGAGTTGTTCGCACAAAGGGTTAATCTTCCTTACGGTACGAAACAGAAAAATCCTACTTATACTACAATAAAAACGAACAGGTGTTGGTTATACATGATGTACCTGTGAAATGTGTAGCTGGTTCGCTAGCACTCATTCTTAACAGGCATACATTCTATTTCGAAGGAGTAACTTTTTGATCAGCTTATTTATGTCTTAACATATTTATTGAAAAATTAAATTCAAAGTGAAACTAAACTGTACAAGACAAATTTATTGACTAATGTGAACAATTTATTCATCAAGTTAACTTTCAAATATACTTCGTGTTTAAACGATTCTCTTCCCACCTGCAGACAAAACCCTAGACAATTTTCACTGCAGATTTCCTTACATACAATAATGAAGCCGTATGAAGCCGTAATTTCATTATCGATATGATATAACTATAGCACGCCTAAGCAAAAGTACTGAAGTTGAAGTTATCAAAGCTGTAGTCATTCTTGGAAAAAAGTTCACAGTGTATAGTTAGTTTTCAGTGGTACAGGGACTCTTAAACATGACATTTCAGAACGAACATTTGTTAACATTTTAAAGAATAGTACAGGTTATATCTCCAATTTCTCGGAATACATATAAAAGCTATACTCTTAACTTAGGTAGCGAAAAAAAAAGATATCTGCTCACAGTCACTGATCTCTGCTGACACGGTTTTCACAGACACCGAATTGTACTGACGCAACAAAGAGAGGGTTTCAACGCACGGAATGGAAAGGAGTGTGGACGTCATATGCTCTCATTTGAACAATATATATTCTTGTTACGAATATCGACAGTTTTCATTCTGTTTAATAATGTGTCTTGCAGAGTACTTGTTATTTTATCGGTTGAAATCTGGAAATGATGCATTGCTTAAACGTTGTTTAGATATGTATGGTTATTGTCTTTTTATCGGGGTTTAATACAGGTGTCTTCGGAGACACCACCTGAAACAAAGTAGTTAGGATAGACAGCGTAGAAAATATAGGAAATAGAATCGAGGAAAGAAATGGATATTAACAACGCAATGAGGGTTACACATGACATTGGGTCTATTTCACGGCAGTTTAGTAGAACACATAAAATAAACCTCCGATTATGTAGATAACAAAAGACTTCTTCATTTCGCGATCACCTTAACTGTATTTTGGAAGCTGTTATATCTTGCCCAGATATAACGGATAATATAAAGGGATATTTGATCTCTGTCGCGATCACCTTAACTGTATTTTGGAAGCTGTTATATCTGGCCCAGATTTTATAACTTTTTATAAACTTAAGGAAAATTCCTCTTAGTAAGGTTTTTCATTTAGAAAGATTAATTGGAGTTCAGCTTAACATATTTGGGCAGGAATTGTTCCTGACTTGCAATGGTTCCCTTTTGGAAAATAGCTAACGACATAATCTGAGGTTAAAAAACGTTCAGAAAACTAGGGCTAGGACTGTCGCTAAAACCACATGACAGTAGTTAGATAAGGTCTACATTTTGTAATTGTGCAAACAAGCACACGAAACAGGTTTCAATGCAATAACTCAAGTTTGCCAAACCAGATTGATATTATAACACAAGCGGACAAAGTTTTGATACCGCATGGTAATGAACAAAACTCTATGAATTGGAGCCTAGAACTTGTATGTAAAGTTTTAAGCCAAGACATATTGTATTTTCGAAACCCATGAATAGAGTCCAATTCTAAATAAACTATTGAGATCACACCCATGATAGCGTTTTCCTCTTACATTGTATCAAACCCTTTATAAATGACACAGAATATTATGTATAACCCTTCTCAACGAAGTGCCCTACTGGAACTTTCTGAAATTGATGCATTCAGCAGATTGAATAAATAAATTGGTAATTTCTTGTTGGTATGTTACAAAAATGAATAAATTCGATTATATCAAAAATATTATTAAGGCCACTTAAGAAAACCGTATATATCACACAAAGAAAAAGCACCCCTGGGTAAACCCAAGCGGGGACTATTAATTTCGGTTTCAGTCCCAGATTTTGACATATGTTGCCGAACACTTTCACAGCTTTCGTGTGTTTGCTTCTGTCAATAATTACAAGCTCTTGGATAGCTCAGATTTACTTTATATACCTAACATACAACCTAAAGGCGTTCCGAATTTCAAACTGAAGATGTTCCGATTATGAATCAGACACCTTTGAGGTTCCCGAATGAGTAGACCGTTATATTATATATTGCTATTGATTGATTTGGATATTTTATGTCTGAACAACGACTTTATTGGTAAAATTTCTTTTTAAACCAATAGAAATGTTGTAATAAGATGTTCAGGTAGAAAAGCTCAATAACGTCTCTTTTTCTTTATCATTTCACGCCAAGGCTCGCGCTTGTGGTCGCCACTGGCTCCAATGGCGAAAGTAAAACATGATTGGCGATTTGAAACTACTCTTGGCGAAAATGTCGATGATGGGCTTTTATTTACGTAACTGTCGACAACAGATTGGTTTTAGCGATAACTGTTTCTAGAGCAATTGTTACAGGTAAATTAAGCCCCACGACATCACTGTGTACTACGATGACACGGCTGAATGCATTTTCTATGAATGGCAAGGTCAGGTATTGGAACTTTTTTGTTTTCGACACTATCATGGCAGTCATGATATTCAGAACAACCTCATTAATAGTAAATTTACCTAGCCATGTAAACGATGTGGTATTGGGAAGCAGATACATGTACGCTGTTCTCGAGAAAGAGAAAGGTAACGATCGAAAAGTCAAAAGCTGTCCTTTTTGGTCATACTTTAAGTAAAGATCGAAAAAAGCGCCTGAAATAGAAGATTTGAAGATTCCTTGATCTCAAAGTCGAGTTATATCTGAATGATTTTGTCAATTACTTCATATTATTTAAAGAAAGCACACACTATTCTCAAATTTTTTGAATGTGAAATTGTGACTTGGTCATATCCTGTCTCCAGCACACATTCACGAATCAATAACATACACGAAGGCACGTCCTTATTTGACCGAAACTATAAATAGGACGTTAAACAAAATGAAACCAAACCAAAACTTGTTCATGTTTTTATTACCAGTCTCGATAAACTTGACAGTAATTTCAGCTTGATTTGAAAATAACAAATAGGCCAGACGATGGGCACAGTTTGTTCCTACAGGAATGCATAGTCTACTGGAAACTGTATCATAGAATGCAATTAATACATTGTCAATCAGGAGCTTAGTCTTTGTTGTTAGTTGTTTTTATCAGAATATGCTCTACAATATTGTACAACCAAGTATAAGAAAGAGAACGAAGGCTTTCATTCAGTTAGGTGCAGAGTTTGGTAGTGTTTAGGGTCGAACAGTCAAACTTTAAAAGGACGAAACATGTTTAAAGAAACATGGAAGAAAAGATCAATGCAAGTAAAATGTTAAGTGTTTCTCCTAAATCGCCTGTTCTCTCAATAAGAAGAAATGAAATGTCTTTGATGTGTATGCAATAACTGATACCAATAATTTCCGACTTCTTTCTTATTTCTTTCGAAAATCGCAAATAAGATTTCACAATTTATGTAAGATTTTTTAAGTTAATTTTTAAACCAATTTATTACCCTGCGATCTAAGATACCTACTCTATCATAAGAATCTGAATTTGCTATCGTGGAAACAAAGCAAAACGGTAAATGTAACGGTAACATATTGAGCTTATGAACAGACAACCTCGGTTATATAAAAAACGATTCCGGTGATATTAAAGTGTACAGCTGTGTCACTTTACTATCCATAGCGATTTCCTGTGATCTATGATCTGGATTCGTAATGATTTTTTTATAAAAAATAATAAATACAGGATAATAAAAAAAATTGAAGAAAGTTATTGCTACTGTTCAGCTTCAAAGTCACCTTATGGCACAGCAGTATGTAGAAAACAGATGTCGACATCGTTGTAACGTGTACCAGAATAAAATTAACTATTGTTTGGAAGATCGTAAGAATTGTCAACAAGTAAAAAAACGTATTTACAACAAGATTATGGATCCCATTACATATGCTAATCGTAATGTATTTACATAGAATTAAATTTGTGCTGTTAAAGAAACGCGTTGTTTTTTTGTATAAATAGAGGAAAATATCTAAAAAAAATAGCAAGCAGTCTCCTACACTCTTCAAGATGTTTCACCGAATACCAACTCTAGGTTTATGTTTCACGCTTTGCGCCCTGTCGATGATCGGGACAACACGTATGTATATTTGTGTCATTTACATTTCACATACGCTTACCGTCTATTTGCGAAAGCCAACTACTACTACACAAAGTGCTTTCTCGTTAATGCGGCTTCAGTATTTCGTTTTAACAACGCATGACACTCAAGTAAGACTTCAAGTTGAGCTATAATACGCTTATACTATAAATCATACTATAAATCAATCACACATTAATTAATCACATTTAGATTCATGTTGTTGTGAACTACACGAGTATATCAAATATTATTCACCTTTCGTATTGATTCTAGCTATATTAAGCATTTTTATAAAAGCGAGACTGCAATCATTGTACAGTACTAATGTTCATTTGAACGACCATGTTTCTATGAATCTGCATCTACGCATAATATTCGATATAGCTGAACTGGAAGTAGCGACAAAGCTAGTCGTAATAACGAGAAAAAATAGTTATGGCAACAACGCTTTACTCGTAATAATGAGATAAATTAAGGGGGTATTTATGGGCTAACTCAATCATCTCATCATAACGAGATAACGTCAAACGATTATTCGTACTTCCTGTGATTAAGGTCCAACAAGGAAAACTCTGACGATGACAATACTCTTTTAAATTAAAACACATTTGTATTCAATCACATTTTTGTTGTTTATGTTTGCATTTTATGTTCCACGATGTTTCAGTTTTCTGCCTATTGTAATGGTATATAGTGCAATTATGTTTCAGAGGGAACCTATATGCCCGTTCATTGCTGTTCAGGGTCTACACTATATGGTTCAAGATGTGTGTGCAACCCAGGAATCCATCCAGATAGTACTCACCGGTGTGTCGGTAAGATAACTACATATTCAACGCAATCACATCGCGGAGACAAACACGAACATATCGCAGCCTCCCAAAATACACACACATACACTACACGCATGCATCTTGCAAACAGGGGAGGCCGCCCTTAAATGACCTTAGCTGTTAATAGGACATTAAACAAAATCAAACAAACAAACAAACAAACAAACTTGTTTAAGTATGTTTCTTTAGTCTAGCTACATATTTAAGCTGATCTTTTTTATCGGTATTTACTAAAAATTAAAAGTTATGTTTTCGGTGTTTTGTAAACGACCAAAATCAACACATGTATAAATGTATGGGTAAACATACAATGCAGCCGCTTTGTACATGTACCTGGACCGTAGTTTTCCCCACCCGGGGCCTTATGTTACTCGTCAATGTGTGGAAATCCAGATGAAGTGGAGTTATAGACCAAAACAAATGCAAATAACAAATACTTAACGTCCACTTGCGTTTTGAGAAAGGTCATTCGGTATCACATTGCTCAACCAATTGTACAAAATGGCATATTTGTTCGGAGAGAAGCACACGACGGGGCGAACGATTGTTAAATCGCATAGTCGTACGCTCCATGTGTGGTCGATATAAAATCATGTATATTTTACATCTCTCAACTCAACTTTTTTCCAGAGCCATGTTGGAACAAATGTAAAGCAAATACAGTCTGCAACAAAAATACATTCAGATGTTACTGTAAACCAGGATGCAGCGGTAACCCATATAGCGGCTGCACACGTAAGTTCCTTCCTCAAGATATTGATGAATTATATTCAAATCAATTGAGAAGGTAACAAATGTTATCAACAAATGATAATGACTACCCTTTCGGTCTGTACAATACAAAAAAAATTGTATACTCGAAATACAGCTAAAAGTATTCTATAGAAAAAAGAATGAAATTGTCTTTAACATGATTAGTTCGCTCAACTTCAGTTTTCTTTTCAGCACCTTTAAGCAAATTCCAATTTGCACGATCAAGTTACTCGGTCAGCGAGAGCGCCGGAGTCGCGAAGCTCCAGATAGATAGGATATCTGGAGTGTCCGGGAGAGTCACACTGTACTGGAAATCGACTTCAATATCGGCTAAACTAAACAGCGACTACAAGGGTGCTTCCGGAACAATTACCTTTGAAAGTAATGAAAAATGGAAGTCCATCCAAATTCCAATCGTTAATGATAAGGTAGGATTTTTTTATAATGTTTGACGTTTGCTTAACATATACATGTTTGACCATTGATTAACCTATTTAGCTCCGACGTGTCTTTAAAGGTTTATACGCAATGCAATATTCAAAATAATTAAAATAATTTGTATTTAGTTACATGTGTCAATTATAGGTACATACATTTAAAAATTACAATGAGTAACAAAGTCTGTTAATACTGTTGATACATTAAATTATATTTCATATATAATATCAATAACATAACCCACATATATATGAATACTATAAGACTCTTTTATATGTACCG